TGTGAGCAGGGCAGGGGCAGAGAGAGAGGGAGACACAGAATCTGAAGCAGCTCCAGGCTCTGAGCTGTCAACACAGAGCCTGACACGGGATTTGAACTAGAGTTGTGAGATCATGACCTGAGCTGAAGAAGGACACTTAACCGACTGAGCCACTCAGGTGCCCCACATGGAGCTCATTTACTACTTCATCTCCTGTCACTCTTCACAGTCACCCCATCATACAGCAACATCAAATTCAACATGAGACAATATCTTGTATATCCATATCTCTTAGTTTGGGTTGCCTCCAAACCAAACTCTGAAACAAGGATATGGGTGTAAATAGTTTATTTGTGAGGAAGCAAAGGAGAGAAAGAGGGAAGGGAGAAAGCCAATCAACGATGTGTTAGTGCACAGGTTACCACTGGGGCCCCTCTTACAGACTATACAGAACACACCTCAGGACTGTCTCACTGAGGGTTAGCAGAGCTGGGATATAATCCACCCATTTACTGTGGAGGGTCACTCCTGGAGGTATTAGCTCCCCAGTACTTGTAGCAAACAGCTATTTGTCCAGAGAATATCCTCAGGCAGAGAAATACAAGAAGCCATTGGTAGGTGACCTCCGGGTGGGCCAAAGACACCAATAACATGTTATATCATAGAGTACACATATTATGACCCTTTTCTCTGTTGCATTCTTCTCCTCTACTTGTCTTTCTGGACCCTTCAATATTTAGTCCATTGAAACCTTTCTTGATCTCCTGTGGGAGTGCTTTACTTCCTTCTCTGTGAACACTCTCTTCTCCTGCAGCTATTAGTTTACAGGTATGACCCCACACCAGGCTGTGGGATCCCCGTGGGCAGTATCTTGGGTACTTGTCTTGGTGTTTGGCATACAACAGATGCTCAATGTCTACGGGAAAGGACATGACTGTGGGTGTTAGAGAGAAGAGGATCTTGCTTTCCATACATGTAATTGAGAAAATCTTCAAAGAACTGAAATATATGCTCCTACATTTTGAATAATACAAAGTCAAGTGTGTAGGTGAGAGCACTGAGGTAGGAATCTTATATCCTAATTCAAGTTAGTTTGGCTCAGTTGCTTTCCCCGTAAGAGTGAGTGGCTGTGACTGATCTCTAAGCTTCTTTCAAGTTCCAGAGATTTCAAGTGACTAAATCTGTGTGTAAGTGAAAGCCAAAGCCCCAAACTGTACAATAACCACATATGGAAATAATTATGTGTGATATTCATCTGGATTCAAGGAAAGAATACAGGTGACAAAGCCTTGAGATGCTGGCAGGTTTCTAATGCTGTGTACATGAAAGAACCACTGTTGGACAGGGGTCTCCTGGAGGAGAGGACACCTTCCAGGGAGCAGCCTACTGCACAGGAGCTAGCCAGGCAGCAGGCTATACTCCAAGCTGGCAGGTGCCAGTGCCCTAGGTGCCAATGCCCTAATACCGCTGCTGGCCTCTCTGCCGTGTGGTACCATCTGATCATATTTAGGTTAGAGACTCAGATAGCCACTTCCTAAGTTCTTATCTAATCCCTGGAACAGGTTCTGTCTGCATTTCTGGAAGGAAGAAGACTAACTTAATACAGGTTATGCTTGGCTTCCCTGACGATCAGGTAGTCTTAATCTTCCTAGAAATGTGACGGGATTAAGAGAGGTAACAGTAAAGGAAGAATAGGTGGGTGTTGGGTTTCCATGTGTAATAGACTAAAAATTGTTGGGGGGGGGTTCATTATTTATTTATTTATTTATTTATTTATTTATTTATTTAGAG